TCAAAGTATAATTTACATCCCAACCAAATAAGATTCTTCAGAATTGGATAAAAATTCAAGTTGCTTCCGTAGAACCAACGCAACGAACAATATTTCCTCTATCTTTTCTCTCTGTTTTTTTGTCAGTAAGAATAAACGCCTTCATCTTTCTTCTGTCTAGAGAAAATAATATTTTTACGAATAAAGTTATGGTTTTTGGATGACTTAACATCTGCAAATGGACATCGTTGATACTAATGCTTTTCCCCGTAAAAGGCATCAATATTGTTGATGTATGAATATCGCGTAACCCGCGTATGATGAACGTCAAATTTTTTCCAACCCCAGTGAAATATCAGAGTAAAACTGTTGGCCAGGAACAAATACGTCTTTTTAATTTATTATTTTTTATCCCATTTAACGAACGCTGGAAAATCAAACCTTTTAAAAAAATAAAAATCATTCGCGCTCATAACTACTAACTTTGTCCACATAGTGGTATTTTACGCAAAATCCTCCATCGTTTGGGATTGGAAAGCTCGGATCGAACGAAATCCATTTTTCCATAAAAATTAGCGAGGTACATTTATGTACTGTCGATAGGATTATCTTTTGTGATCAAATGATTAAAAATTTATCTAAACTTTCTAAATCTGGATACTAATTATCAGTCTCAATGCCACTGAATAATCAGTGAATTCACAATGAAATTTAACTAACAAAATTAATCGCAATCTTTAATCTTGCTTTAGTAATAGTATAAATTCAGTATATATGGTATTAAAACTGACGCGCAAAAATATCTATTTTAATTATTAGGTGTTGGAATTAATTCGTAGCGTTTTTTAATGAAAGAATGTTATTTATTTCACATGAGCATTAAAAAATACATTAATGAAAGTACTTCCCATCACTTGTAAAACGCTACGAATTAATTCCAACACCTAATATTTTAATCATAATAATGCTCAAACTTCTTTTCCTTTTCAGCATTTTAATTATATAATACGCAAACTTGATACTTTCTTTTTCAGTTGAATTTCACTGATTACCCATTGACATACTTAAAACTAATAATGTCAGCAATATTCATTATTTCATATTTAAAGAGAATGTGATTTAGTCTTATTTGTGATAGAATTCTAAATCTCGAAGAGAGACACCTCCGGCATTCGACTGAGTGATATCCAACAAAAATTCGAATGGAAATCACGGAATATAACTATGTGAGGAAATATGCAAGCCATTGAGAAATCTCGATTGGTCACTCGCGTTCCTGAATGACGATCAGCCAGCTAGTTGCTCGATGCTCGGCGCTCGTTCCGAGAAAATCCATCTCCGGATGTAAGCCGGCCTGATTACCACCATAACGCGCCGTTGTTTCTTGTTTACCTTTAATCTTTCGCCGCTTCGCTAACGAAAAGTATACAATTTCCGCCGACCGCCTCTCGTTTTTTTTTTCTCTCCCAGCGGTCTGTTTCATCGCGCTCACCGAGAGAAACCTCATTATTCTCGTTATCAAGAAGCGCGAGGAGGACACCGTTGTCAATTTGCTAGGTTCGTTCTCTTCAACCGGCGCCACGACGCCGGGCGTCGCCGAGCTGATGAATGAGGCGAATTCTCGATGATTGCGCCATGATGAGAGACGTGAAGGAGATCGAGTAACCACCAAATGGGCTGGCACCCCCGATGCGTCGAAATTTCATCGACGTGTCGCGACGCAACACAACGCGACACTCTCGTATCGTGGACATGACATTGTGGAGGAATTATGGTAGCTGGCTGGCGAAACGAGGCTAGTCGCGAAACGATGGGGGCGGGAGAAAGCGCGGACGAGGGCAGGGCACTGGGTGAAATATCGTGGTTTAACGTGACAGTTTAAGGGCGTTAACCCTGGCGACGCTAATGTCGTCTGCGCGATGGAAGGCGCGGTGGCCACTGACCGGCTCTTCGCCCCTTTGTAGAAATGGCGACCGTATTTCTTCCGCAACATTTATTAATATACGTTTCCAAAGTACAAGCCGGCAATAGCACTGGACGAGGTGAAAAATGGAGTAATTGTGAGGCGAAGAGTCAGGATCCATGGAGGCGAGTCGTTTATTTCGGCAGGCGGTAAACGCACTTCGTTTCTTTTAGTCGACAATAAATAAAAGCGTATATCTGAGATTAAGAGAATAAAGACACGATTTGAGATAACGTGATAAAGGAGATTTTTTTTAAGGGGAAAAAGGTTCAACGATGTTGCTATTATAAAATCACGAAGAAAGGGGAGGCTTTGATCGAAGCGATCTTCTATCACGAATAGCAGCGCGCACGTCGAATCAACGTACAATAGTCAATCCGCGATTGTGGAAATCGACGTGATGCTATCAAAGCGAATAAATCGAGTTTCTCGTGGCCGTGATCCCTGCGTGAACGTGCCTCACAGAAATAAGGGAAGTAACGCAGCCCGATGTCTATTATCAAGCCGCACGATACACGGTCGACGTCGAACAGCGAAATGGACGTTCCGCGTCGTATCTGGTACGGAGAGACCATTGCACGATCGGAATAATTGGTCCCAGCGCCAGTCGCTACACGAAGCAATCGGGAAGAAAGTGCAGATATTCGAAATCATGAATTGTAGAATTTCGAAGAAGACTGACGATAACTACTGAAAATCAGATGGAACGTTTCGCGTTTAAAGGGAATCTTTTTTTCCCGATTAAACGTTGCAATAATTTTTATGAAGGATTTCGTGTATTACTTTTATTGGTTTGGAAACTCTTTTCCAGAATTAAAGTATTAAATGTATTAATACTAATCTGATAGGTGGAGTTTATGCTGGGAACGAAAACATGTTTTGAAATTGAGTTCTTTACCATTTCTTAGTCCAATATGGCGTCCAGAGCTGTCAAGTCGTGACAACATTTGCTTAATATAAAAGCTCTGCAATCTGTACTTACGAAATTGGAGTCTGAAAACTAGTAAAATGCTTGAAGAAACAACGTCGAGTTCTTAAACTTAACACCTAATTTGATACGAAAATTCATGCTGAAAAAGAAATTTATTAAATCTTAACATATTTCTTCGAATAATTCTGAAACTTTTACAATGCAATACATAAATATTTATTCGATAACAAAAATGATAGTTCAAATGAAATTGATGTTTTTGTATCAAATAGATATACATTTAATAAATATTTGCTTCAAACTAAAATATTCCAACAAAAATATTTATTAAACTTTATAATTTCTTTCCAATGTGGAAACACGTACGATATTAATGCAGTAGTGGTGTGTCGATGTCACGTAAATCGTACGTGTGTAAGTTCCATTAAATCTGTAAAACAGTGATCCCATCGAAGTTCGGTCTTCAGTTTAGGATCCCCTTAAAAGATTAGCTGTGGGATCTACCGGCGATGGATTATCCGTATTTTCCTTCCGGCTCATCCGCAAACGTATCGCAGCATTGGCAACGCTCCAGAGGGGTGGATAGTATGCATCAGGCGGCACCTCTTAATAATAATAGCGATAAAGCAGCTAAAAGGGGTACTTCGGGTCACCGCGTATGCGCGCACGAAATATAACTGCGATATGTATGAAGATGAGAGGGATCTCCACCGTGCGTGGAGTCTTCTTACATCGTCGCTCTTTTCCTTCGCGACTTTTTTTCCGGTTTTACGGCTCGTTGGCAGCAGAAATTCTTCGTTAAACGCATCCGCTGTTCGCCGTTTTGGAATAGTACCGCGACGAACAGATTTAATATAATGAGATGCGACGTTTTCTAAGTAGTTGGCGAAGGAATATCTCCGGCGCATTCTATGAATGCGCCAATGGGATGATAACAATATTTCGTAGACAATAATGTATTTATGATACGAGTACATTTACGAAGAGGAAGAAGCCAGGAATTTCACGTATTGCAAAATATTGGAGCTGTGATTGCTGATTCTCCAATATAGAGGAAAAATTCGGAAAAATCAGACGACTTAATCTCAGCTTTTGTTTAATCGAAAACTTTTCGCTCTAACGAAGAAAATCGCGGATAATAAACATTGACAATAAATATATCCGCTAACGTTGCTCGGCCCCGGCGATTTGCTACATCAAACAAATGTCACTTGCGAGAAATTAAACGAGTATGCACGAATGTCGGGCGTGTAAAGTCATAAAATACAAATATTTGTACTACGCATCAACGATACGCGAATGTTTATGTTGGACACATATTGCCTAATATTTCTCTTCGCTACAGGACGAGCATCGCGTTCTACGCGCGCGCGATGTTTGCATTCGAAACAGCGATTTTCATAAAGAAACCAGTGACGTTCGATAAACGACTTTAGCGTCAGCATAAATGTTTGCCGGCGAATATGATTTTCCGGTTCGTAATCGGAATACGAGCTAGAGATACTATCAAACGCGATATTAACGCACCGCTTGGAAACGTTCCGTTGCGTTACGTCATAAAATTCAGCTCGTTAAAAGCGAGATTAATTAAGTTCTGCAATATCCTTTTCAATTAGCATGAATTTTCCACGAAGGCGTGATTTTCTACGTTTTAACGTTTACCAAGCGGCCGCTGGAATGACGTGCGATATTAATTGCGCTGCCTAGAAAATTTCTTCCTGTATGCCGATCGGATATTGAAAATTATTCAACGTGTTTTCCGCCTCTCGTAACGACTAATTCAACTGCAACTCCGTCGTGTAACAGTTTTTAATCGTCCGATAATCGCGCGTTCGATTAATTCGCCGGATTTTCGAATTCGCGCGGAAAACAAACCCCGACGTGGCAGCGAACGGCGCGATTATATTTACGTCCGCTTCTAATTATCCATGCGAGGATAATAACCATTTGGGGTAACTCTCGTCGGGTTCATCGCTTCCACTCGATCAGCCGGAAGCTGACGATATCCTGCCGTATTCGCTATTCGATATATATACGAGTTACGACGGGCTTAGGCATCGGACAAAGGGGATCTTCGCGTGCTTATAAGTCGCTCCTGCGTACCTCAAACCATCTCTTCATCCATAGGATTATTTCACCGTGTGGTATTATCCAGCGGCTCAGCACTAAGTCCCTGGGCCTCAGTGCACGACCCGAACGATATCAGGGCGAAGATCGGCGAACAGATGGGCTGCTCGACCGAGGGTGACGAAGACATAGCTGACTGCCTCCGAGGAGTACCGTTGAAGACCCTCATGGACGTGCAATTACCGGAAATCAGGTAAGCGCTTAGACACGAGCGAAGCGTTGAAGAATATTCACTCTCCTTCCCTTGGACGATTAGGTCTACATTTGGCAAGTACGTCAAAAGAAAATTGAAATAATGAAATATGTATTGCGAAATGGAACAGATGGAATATATCGATACTCTTCTTTTCCATCTTTTTATTTATGATAGCATATCGATGTAATAAATATTACCTCGTCCCATTTATGCGACACACGTACATATACATACGTGCATATACAGGGTGTCCTGAAATTTGCAAATTAAATAAATAACAAGAAAGTTTTCGAAAAATTAAGTAAAAAAAGTTATGTGTACATTTTGGTTTCAAGTAATAATTGTTCAGATATCAGATTTAAATTTAGCCAATTATAGATTACATTACCTATCCATGAATCGCACGTGTATATTAGTAAGCACACTTTAGTTTATTTAATCCGTAATTTTGTTTATATTTAAACACTTAATTAACTGTTATTTCACAAACTATTACTTAAAATAAAATTTACAAATAACTTTTTTTATTTAATTCTTTGTAACTTTCTCATTGCAGTATTTTGATTCACGATTTTCGAGACCCCCTGATACGAGACTCTGATATATATATATAATATACGCGGAATTCATATTCGTCGCTTGAATGAATCCAATGAAGCTATGCATTTCGATGAAAAGTGGAAATGCCGAATTGTAAAAAATTTAATAGATATGATTGATTCGTTAAAAAAATGACATCTAGCTAGCACACAGCAGCAATTACTGTGTTACAAATTTATAACAATTTCATGAGTCCATGGCTACGATGACTTATGATAAATCGTCATGAGTTGTCGAAACTGCACGTGGCGATATTTAAAAATCTTGTAGTTATAAATTGTAGTTATAAATTGCCACGTAAACGTTTACGCAATCAAAAATCGAGAATCTATAAAATTGCTATAAAATTGGGTCTTAAATTGAATTCTGTCGACACTTGCATTACTTTATTAGGTATTAGCGATGACGTTCACAGGACGTTAACCTAGGTTGTGCGAGTGCATTTACCAGTATATTTATCACGAGGTTGAAATGAATCTGCGATACTAATTGCAAGGATAATCACATGCACGTACACTGAATTATCGGATTACTGTCAGATCGTGGTGGGTTAATAGCTCTCGCTTTATTGATTTAATACCCTTATTATATCAATTTATAATATCGTGGTCGTTTGCCGTAACGAGGGAGGGGTCTGACTTTATCGTTTTGTTCCACCAGATTTGTGCCCCGTATCGGGCCCGGTTTACCGGTGGACCAAAACAATCCCGATCCAGGTCTGGACATGGAGCGCGCGAGCGACGCATTCATCAAAGTGCCGCTGATCCTAGGCGTTTCCACGACCGAGTCGAATCTTGACTTCAACAACAACGACATACAATTCGGCTTTGAAGAGGATCACCGGAATCGCATCCTTCGCACCTTCATCCGCAACGCCTACATCTACCATCTGAATGAGATTTTCTCAGCGGTGAGGAACGAGTACACGGACTGGGATAAGCCGGTACTTCATCCCATCATAATACGGGACTCGACCATGGAGGCATTGAGCGATGGTCACACGGTCGCGCCGCTCATGAGAATCGCTTTCTACCACGCCAGGCGGGGCGCCAAGACGTACTTTTATCACTTCAATCATCAGTCCAAGGACAGCGGCTACGTGCAGGTAAGACATCGCTCCGAGGAACTTTGCAAGACAAAGTTTCTCGGTGCGAAGAAATTTTATCACGGGGGGATGATTGTAATAATTTTATTCTTAAATACCGGAATTTCACAACATAGCTTTTTTTTTTTTTTTTTTTTTAAAGTAATAGCCAAACTTTAAGAAAATTTCCGAGGCGTAAGAGATTTCCGAGAGAAATGCGCGCAGCGATGTGCGAAGATAGCAAGAAATCACGTAACTTAGCGTTGTCGATCGACGGGGATATCCGCGGTATCTCGAGGCGTCGATTTTTCTCTATCGTAAAACGATATCGTCCACCCTGCTAACACAGCTATTGCACGCTACTAACACGGTGAAAGGTGAAGCGAGTGAGTAGAAGAGAGAGGTAGAGACTCTGCTTAAGTCTGAGTTAACTCCATTAACTTGACATCCCGAAGAGAGACTAACGTTCGCCCTCGACACCTAGTAGTCTACCGACACTTCCAGCTAAGGAAGTAACCCGTTCAACCCCTGCCTGACACACACTCTCTCGATCCTACATCCTCGTAGCTCATCCGTCTCACTCTGCGTCGCACTCGATCCATACCCGGCTGGTAACCGCTGGCCATGACTTCACGATGAAGACACTGATTTAATAAAACGCCTCGAGCGACCCGCGTGCACCGTGTTCGCATTTTGTCTCGGGAATGACGGGGATTTGTCACGCTTGACATAATAATATCGGGAGGACAAGAAAGAAATTGTTATATCGGCCAATTTGTAAGGTCGCGCGCTGCCAAGCGGCGCGTTAAACTCGCGACGACGGGAAATAGATTGACGTTTTCAATTTAGAGGGAAAAGGAGGATCATAGGGAGCTTGAGAAATTTCGTATGGCGTGTTTGTAGATATTCAAGAAAACGAATTATCTCCGACGCGGTATTATCTTCCCAGGGGTTAGAAAACCGCCCGTAGAAATAATAAAAGTCAGCGTTAGACGGTACACGTCAAGTTGGTCTCCAAAAGTTAAAAGTTGGTTAATCCCACTCGGCGAGAGAGTGCAAGTGGTCGTGTAGTTAACAGTGATTTAGAGCATCAACGTTACTTTCTCCCCCTCCTCCTCTTCCCCCCCCCCTCCTCCCGGTTACATTACACAAAAGGGATTTAATTAAGCGTGAAGCGAAAGATTCGCTCTTTAAGGAGATTCTGAAGCCATCTTGTTTTCGATTATTTTTCGAAAATATTTTTCTAATTGTCTTTATACTAGATTTAAAAATCCTCTTCCACAATTAAAGTAAAAACGGTAATGTAGTCTAAACTGATCGACTTTATGCCAAAAAAAATTGGAAATTACAATTTTGTTATCAGCTTCTGTCATGATATCAAAATGATGTAAAAATGACTCCAAAAATGATCATTAAAAGTCATTTTTCAATCATTTCCGATTCATTTTAATATCATTTTAACGTTGTTGTTGATGTTGTCGTGATTTGTTGTTCTGCTTAGGTGACGCCAATTTGTAACAATATTTGCTTTATATACAAGTTTGATACTTTGTATAAAACAATCTTGGATTAGGGATTACATGAACAAACAATGTGTGTTAACTTCTTAGAATTAGGCTTAGATACCTAATATGAAAGATTAATTAGAAAATTGGTACATATGTGTACGATATTGATGTAATAGTGTGTAGTAATGTATCAATGACACATAAATCGTACGTATAAGTCCCATTGAATTGATAATTAAATAGATGACTTTAGGATCCCCTCAATTCACGTAACCGCAACTGATTCTATCGCTATAAATATTGTCAAACACAATCAAAACGTCACACTGGTTTACCAAGCGTGCGGTAAAAAAGAAAGAAACGAGCGAATTAGACGAGACAAAGAGGGAAAAAGCCGCGCTGAAGAGAGATAAGAAAGCGATATCAAGACCACTGAATACAAATGCGATGAATTTATTTGAATTGTTAATTGCGGCGTTTTCCGCCTGTCACGGTCTCCTATTCTCCTCGTGCATTCTTTTCCATACGCGTTTCACGCGTGTTAATAGGGATCAGTATAATACGTGGAACCATTTCACGCAGCGTGATAGAGAATTTAACTGTCGAAATTATGCATTTACAGTACAACGCTCTGCAAAGGGTCGGAGAGACAATTTCTGGCTAATCGTCACGGTTTCTATTAATTAACACTAAAATTAGCTATCAATGATTAACTGATATTCTGTTTCGGTTAATTAAATAAAACAATCGCCGATAGCTGTTGATAATTTAATTGACATGAATTACGAATTACGCAAATTGCGCGTGTAGTAAATATTATAATATCTCGCGCCTAATGAATGTACGTAGTTTCGGCCGTATAATTATCGATTACGGAACTTGGATGCTCCACGGCTCCGATTCTCTCAGTGGGAAATCTCGTTGCAGCGCCTGGGGAGCGTTCGTGGGGAGGACATACCGTATATTTTCGGGCTGCCGTTGGTGGCAGGCGGGGCTTTCTTCCCGCGGAATTATTCCCGACAAGACCAGGGCGTTGCTGAGGCCGTACTCACCTTCTTCACCAATTTCGCCAAGACCGGAAACCCGAACGAACCCCACAAGATCGAGTCGGTCGACTATGGCACGCCGAAGGAGAAGACGCGATTCCGCGGTCTCACATGGGAACAATATGAGACAGGATCTCAGCAGTATCTCACGATAGGTATGTTGCGCTTGAGACTGCAAGAAGAGAAGAAGTAGTTCCACCGTTATTTTTCGATAAATTTAATTTTCAACAAAGCGCCTTCTTCCGTCCTCCGTTTCTTTAAAAGGATCGTGACGTTTCTCGTGGAAACGTCGCGATCTTTTTAAATTCTGTGAAAAGTTCCTTCAGAATTTTGATTGTGTACAATGGACTTTGTCCGCCTCGACGCGTTCTCTTTGAAATTTCTTTGAAAAATTTAATTGTGCGTGCGAGATGAAATCCTTTTAAATGAAATGTGAAATTATTTCTTGATGATAATTATGTAATAGATATTCCTTTAATGCATTCGATAATTGTAATTAATTCGTTTTTAATAATTATTCGTAACAATACGTTGCATCAGTTTGCACATTTAAGAACGATGATATGTGATAACTATCTTTAATTAATGGTGATAAATAATTATCGAAAAAGAAGCGTTTTTAATCATTAAAATTTTATTTTAGCATTAAAACCGAAGATGAAGAGCCATTATCGCGGTCATAAAATGGCTGTATGGCTTAATTTGATACCTCAGCTCCATCGCCCTGGCGACGACGACGTTTCAATGCGACATCATCACTTCCGGGAACGAGGCGATCATTATTATGCAGGTAAGATCATATCTTGTGCGAAAGAAGTGAAAGTTTAAATTCTTATTTCTTTTGTTTAAGATGTATCACTCAATTATTTCTTGCTTTATTATTGTTCAGGACCGGTTCGGGACGAATGGTACACGCCATTGCCGCTGACAGGCACGACTCGAACGAGTTCTTCCTCAACCACCGCCTGCAGCACATCTACGGGAGGTGAGGATAGCCTTATCGAGGATATTACTCCGATTCTGGATGATTCCGAGGACGATGCCGAGCTGCTACAGAGACTAGCGTCTCGACATTACTACAGCACAACCACTGCCCTGGGGATCACTGTGGGTGTCGGTTGCATCCTTCTGGTTCTGAATATGCTGATTTTCGCTGGCATTTATTATCAGCGGGATCGCGACAAGAAACGTGCCGCCATGGATTGTAGGCCGAATGGACAGGAATCTCTGCCGATGACCACCAGGACATCCATAAAACCCTCCGACAATCCGCGATCCGCTCAAGAGCCACCTCCCTCGTATACAACCCTCGCGAGAAGCCCTTCCATTCAGGAACAGCAGCAATTCGCGCCGTCCCAGGAATGTCAGGACAGCGAGCAATTGAGGAAAGAATCGAGATCCGGTCATGGGACCAGCGGCAACGCCCACAAGGACGCGATTCCTCCGAAACCGCCCGCCAGGACCACCAGTTCACTCACCACTGCCGGTAGCACCAACACTATCAAGAAACGCGTGCAGATACAAGAAATATCCGTATAGCATTAGGGGTTGCCCCCAGAGGGCAACGCGCGGACAAAGCGAGTGACCTTTATGGACTCGGAAAAGGTCACCACGGAGTCCAGATTTTGAACGATATATTCCATTAATTGATCATTGGACAGTGCCGATTAAGGGAATTTTTCATTTATCGCGATTATGCGAACATAACTCGAATTCAACAGAAAATGACTATGTAACAGATCTTTTACAGTGTGCATTGTGTGTGAATTGTGGTCAAAAAATCAACATAACAATCTGACTTTAGCCATTACTACTAAAAATGGTCGATTGTTGTCGACTGTTACTACTTGCAGCGCGATATTGCGACTAAAACGCGGTCGCACTACTGAACTGTTATTATTGTTAGATTGCGCCTGACTATTACTACTTAGGAAACTTTGTGACCGGTTCTTTCTACTGGTAGGAATGTAAGATTGCACGTGGTGGTTATTTCTAATAGAGACGTGGATTGTACGTAGCTGATATTTATAATGAAACGGAATATTCTCTGTTGTTTTTAAGAAAGTGATCGCTAAAGTACCCCTCGTAATTCGTCGCTATATTATGTATATATCAGGTGCTCACAAAATATTTTATTCAAAGGACTTTTTTGTAATTGAAGATATCGATACAATGTTTCCTAGCCATTTAATTCATCGGAATAAATACTGATTCTCTCAGAGACCGTGGCAAATACGTGGCCTTAAGTATCAGTACATAAAGGAAACGTATCGGTATTTTCGATATCATAGAAAAAGAGCGCCTGACTAGGAAATATTGAAACGAAACGTATAATGAAATTCTTGTTAAGAAGCTCTAAATTGAATTCTTTGCTAAAAAGCAATTATATGTATAAGAATACCGTGTACGGATCGATACACAGTAATCGACGACGACGATAATGACGAATCTGATCTAAGAGATCTCGAAACGGAATCGGAATACCAAAGCCACGTATACGATCGCATACCAATCTCGACGACTGCTTTGTAAAGCATCGATTGGGAGGAAGAGGTACTCGATTCGAAACGGATCAAACGGATTGGATGCGATAAGCGTTTGTTATTCACAAGCAAAACGAATACGGTGTGTACGGAAGTACCATTCGTATAAGTGAAAGTGCACTCGTCGTTTCCGCCTTTACAACACATAGCTAGGCTACACCTCTCGAAACGTGTAATTTCGATCCTGTCGAGAACGGCTTAATAGCGCTCGCGAAGTTTACTCGGGCGAAAAGCGCAATTCTCCAACCGCGTTACCTGTCGCGCAAGTGCACAATCACGAGTGCATTCGACGGAGCAAAACCGTAGAACGGCATCGGGAGTACGAGACTACGACCGAGCAGCGCGACGACTTTCGAGAGGGCGGACTCGACCCTCCGCTGAGTGTTCTTCTCGTAGAGAATAGTCCGTCATAAGTATCGTACCACCACGAAATTGCGGCTAGAACTCTTCATCGTGATGATATATACACGTTCCGTAATCATTTCCATCCGCGTTTCTTGTTCAAGAACCTCGAAATTTCGCGATTGACAGCGCATCTTGTATATCCTTTTCTACTTTGACATGCAAAACAAGGTACGAGTATTAATACTGTATTAACTTCAGTATTAACATCAAAATTAAATATTAATATATTGAACATGTTTATATTTTTAATTACAATATTTTAATTAATATTATATTACAGAATTAAATGAATATACATATAACGGCGTAATTTTTTATTTTACATTAATTAAATGTACAATGAGATGAGTTTGTTTGATGGCACTTTGATTCTTTGGCCAAAATTTATGAAATATAATTTCTTCGATCATGGTCTATCTAAATTGAGAGATTATCGCCAAGATCAAATATCTGCTCAAAGTATGTAACAATAAAAAAAAATGGAATGTAATTTCTCTTAAAGTAGAATTAAAACTTGTATAGAACTCTCTTTTCTCTCTCTCTCTCTCTCTCTCTCTCTCTCTCTCTCTCTCTCTCTCTCTCACTCACTCTCTCTTTTCCACGACCAATATCCTAAGACGTGATCGCGCTCGTGTTTGCAGAGATACATTTTGTCTTTGTAGAGAGTTTTTAATCCTGAATTAATATTCATGACCTGAGATCACCGAGATCACTATATTCAATACAGATACCAAGTTTTGAAAGTCATCCTCGTCATTGTATGCAACTAAATCAACCCATGCGCGAAAAGGAAATGCGCTTTTCAGGATACAATGGAATGGGATATAATTATGCTAGTATTCAATATAACAAAAATCAGGCACAGCAATATGAAAAACGGAAAATATAGACACGACCACTGACAGGTTTTTACATACTAAAATATTTCTATCACATTTATATCTTGATTATTGAGATTGTGGTAAGGAATGTAAACCTAAAATTTATTCATACAGAACGATAACAAATAATACAAGAACTGAATTTTCTAACAATTTAACTGTTATCTTACGATTTAGAAAAAGAAACAATATCTTTTTCCACCTAGAATGAGTTTCAAAATCATTAAATATTGAGACTGTCTAAAAAAATAAGATTCATCTAATCGATACGTACGATTCCTCGGCACATGAAACTATACATATGTATCAATATAATATAAGATCGTAAAGCTGTAATTAAATACCATGTAGCGTAATATGCACAGACTCAATGTCGCGTAAAATCATATTGCCGATTACAATAGTTTTAAGTACGTACATACGTCATTACGTATAATTTTTCAAAGTAACTGTTCGCGAATGATATGATCTTTAACACGTTGTGATACTTGCGTGAAGGTAGTATTGACGCACGTAAAACGACAGTGAAATTTAAATACGTGTTATAGTCTAGAGAAAAAAAACCAATTTGTAAATTTCACTGTACAACAATAAATGCCAATTTATAAAAATATATGGCGATTTTTGTTTGCTAATCGTCCGTCGAGTGGTAAAATTATCATATCATCTTTTAAATTTTGGGTCAGCGTCGGTGAAATGTTAAATAATTAAACATAACACACGCATCTAACTAAATATAGACGAAGCTATATTTTCAAAGTATTTAAAATAATATACATGAAAAGATAATGTAACGAAAAGTTTAAAGCAAATTAGTTTCAAATATGATAAATTATGCTAGACATAATTTAACATTTTCTTTTCTCTATGTAATTCGTTAATGCAATGAAAATAAAGTGTAATATACACTATGTAACTTTGAAGGTTTCAGGATAAATCAATCTTATTCGACAGCTCTTTTCTTAGCAGGAACTGTATCGTGCGAGGGACTGTTACCTCTCTTTTTCGCACCCCGTGCGCCACGTCCTTTGAACATAAAAAATTTTATTAGTAATTGTTTTTTTAAATAATTACAAAATTATTTTGTGTCGTAATAAGGAATTCAGTTGTTTTAAGAGTTTAACTCAGCGAAATATATACATAATTTATGTGTATAAACTTCTCAGTATTAGCATGGCAAAGCATCATTATATGTATATTTGGTAATCAACAATTGTACTATTTTAGTGATCTTTTACCACCTTTCTTAGCGCCTCGCTTGGATTTATTGTATTTGTTCTTTGAAGCTACTATATCTTCCATCGCTTTAGCGAGGTACTTGTCTTCTTCCTCACCCTCGAGCATTTTACAGGTAACTTCAATGTCTTGGATTACCACCTTGAAACAAGAAAAATGTTTTGCTTGATTGTAATTTCAAAATTATCAAAGGAATTATTATAGAATTTAAAAAATTTTGTGGATATTGTTTTCCTCTCACCTTGCCTTCATTTGTCTTTGCTAATAAAGGTTTGGCAGCATTTTCTCCCTGCAAACGTACCCAACCTTCCGTTTGTCCCCTTTGGAAATCGATGTATGCAATATCAGCATCGAATTTGTCTAAGCATTCCTTGACATCTTCTCTTGTACACGTCTTGGAAACACCAGAAAAGTAAATAATTGATCCTTTTGGCAATTTATTATCTGTTCCTGCAGATGTTTGCTCTGTTTCATTTTCAGTTTCCTTTGTTTCCTCTGTCTAAAGAAAAGAATATATTAAAACACAAATGAAAGATTAAGAGCGATAGATCGCACATTTATCTTCTATTTGCTTTGTTTACTCACAATTGATTTCTTTGGTTTTTCTTTCTTTTTCCTACGTTCCTCCTTTTCTTGTGCTTTTTCTGCATAATAATCCGCACTATAAAAATTTACATATTAGATTATATACATATACACACATATACATGTATATAAAACAAAATTATACAATATCAATTTTTTTTCTCCAGAATTTTTACTTACGCCCACTTCCTTATTAACTCAGTATCTTGATATTTTACAGATTCTGTATTCATAAACGCTTTAGCGGTATCAAAAGTTTCGAATTGCACAAAAACAGATCCTTTAAACTTAAGAACTTTATCTTTATCTTGATATTTCCTCATCTGCAAAGTAAAACTTGAGATAATAAACGCATTAGAAATAATTTTTGATATACATATTTATTTCGATATTCATATCCGGCAATATATTAAATCTGTCAAATATTCCAAATAATCAAACAGACTAAAAAATAAATAGCACAAATACATTGATTTGTTTGTTCTTATTTCGTCTGGTTCAAAATATAAAGATGTTTATGATTAACAAATTAATATCAGAGCGCGAACGGCATGGCAGACAGCGTATTGGTCTGTCATGTCAGAGATCCCGGGTTCGATCCTGACAGATATCTAATCAAAATAAATTTACGTCTCCTCTCGGAAAAGGCCGGCAACCTCCCGAGAGTATCCTTGCCCACAGAAACCTCCGAAAAATCCGCCGTTTGGAACCGACATTAAAACTGTAGGTCCCATATACTTGTGGCAATTGAATAATAAGTGTGCGTATCACAAGCATATGAGAGAGGTGTAACACAGGCCAGAGGCCTAACGTAAGAGAAAGAAAAAGAGAAGAAGAAATTAATATCACAACACAATGAATGGAATTTGGACAATTTACTCATTGCCCAAAATTGTCATATTTACTTATTCTATATCAAATAAATATATTTACCACAATGGTTTCAAATGGCTTGTACGGTTCAAAAAAGACTTTTAATTTATCAATAGTTGTGTTAGTGAACGGAAAGCCTTTGACATAAACTGTTCGAGCTTCCTGAGCTTTCCTATATCCTTCATTGTATTCTGGCAGAGGATGCTTTGGAGAGCGACGTATCTTTTTCTTATCCTCAGATATCTCCATGAGATCGCTGGTTTCCAATGCTTTTAGAATTACATCGACATCTTTGCTGAGAGCAGCCAGCATTTTAAAGTTTAACATGATAGTCATTGGAATCCAGCCTTCGTCCAGTTTTGTTTGTTCAATGAGAAATTTGTCCCTCTGCATATTTACATTACCAAAATAGTACTGTAAGAAAATAATATTAGTTATAATAATATTGTTTAGTAACACAAGTCGACATAAACATCATTCTGTTTCTCTTAACATTCAAGAGATCTATTCTTCTTCCCCATATCTGTATGAAAAAGAACAAGGCTATTCTTGAAAAGAAACGTATACGAAATTCTAAGAAAATACTATAGTATACATAACGTATACTGTAGGTCTAAAGCCCAGGTCTGTAGGCCCAGAGTCCAAGTCTCAGTCTACAACTTTGCTTTAAAAGGCCTTAGGTCATAAGTGGAAAGAGATTAAGAGCTGTAGCAGAAAGGCTGATTTATAATCTTAAGACAGTCTTATGAGGTTAAGTCTTATGTCTTTAGTAATGCACAAGAATTATTTTATGGCTTGTCTTATGACCATTTTACAATAAGCCATTAATCATAAATCAGAAGTTAGAAGATGGAAATTGATGACTGTGATTGGTCAATTTCCAGCTTTGGTCATTTCTAACTTCTGATTTATGACTAATGGCTTATTGTAAAATGTGTATTACAGGTGTATAAATACTAAGTACCTTTAAGACATAAGTCTTAAAGACACTGTCTTAAGATTATAAGTCAGCTTTCTGTTAAAGCCCTAAGTGACAATAATTTTTGTCTTTGAACTGTTTTTGCACAGTCTTTGGACTTTAACCGTTAGATTTAAGTGAATTGAGCGAAACCCAATTCTTACTTATGCCTAAAAGCATAAGTTCTATGGTCGATATATCACTTATCACTACTTACAACTTAGGATCTGAACACAAGATTGTCATAACACTTACTTAGAGACTTAAGTTGTAGATGTAAGTAACGCACAAGCTTTGGCGTATGATGTATGATTTATTGCTCTTAGAGACACTTGTACGTCATACGTGAAAGCTTGTGCGTTAGTTACGTCTACAATTTAAGTCTAAGTAAGTGTTACGACATTCTTGTCCTTACAACTTACGACTTACGGCTTACGGCTTCTTAAAGCAAGGTTATGGACTTAGTCTTAAGAACGTTTGAAGGATTGATTTTTTTGCATGGTTCATCTTTTTTTTTCTTCAGTATGAAAAGAAAAACAAGAAAGATGAACCATGCAAGAAAATCAGTCCTGAAGTATGAAGGTCTTTGCCTGTTGTTTTCCATACCTCAAGATTGTCTTGTTATCCAACAAGACAAACTGACTTGCGTAAACTTGCGTAGACTTGCGTCATCAAATAAAAAGCATCCTTTGTTTCCTCAATAATCAATTTATGTTTCTACAGCTTTAT